AAAGAGCCAAGGAGGTAATATAACACAACAGTGTATTCCCCAGGAGACTGCCACCAAGCACCACAATGATGACTGGTTTAAAAATAATTTCTAGAGAGGTTTTGCGCCACTAGTCTAGCATTGGGATCTTATCCTATGTAGGTCGGAAGATTAGTCTTTAAAAAAAAAAAAAAAAAAAAAAAAAGGAATATTTCCAATTATTCTCCATTCACCTTCACTGCTTTTGATTGAACAGCTGAAAGCTAAAAGCTTCCAGATAAAAATAAACATTTACTTGATCATTCTGAATATTAAGCCATTAAGGATCATAAGTTCCCCATCTCCCTTCTTGAAACACATCACAGCAGCCTCAAAGAACTTCTGTCCTCTACAGTTTTTTTTGAGTCTGAAAATGATAAAAATCATTTTTAAATAAAATGATCACATTTTCACTATGTGCTCTATTTTTTTTTTTTTTTTTTGAGACAGAGTCTCACTCTGTTGCCCAGGCTAGAGTGCCGTGGTGTGAGCCTAGCTCACAGCAACCTCCAACTCCTGGACTCAAGCGATCCTCCTACCTCAGCCTCCCAGGTAGCTGGGACTACAGGTATGCACTGCCATGGCTGGCTAATTTTTTCTATATATATTTTTACTTGTCAAGCTAATTTCTTTCTGTTTTTAGTAGAGACGGGGTCTTACTCTTGCTCAGGCTGGTCTTGAACTCCTGACCTCTAGCGATCCTCCCACCTTGGCCTCCCAGAGTGTTAGGATTACAGGCATGAGCCACCGCGTCCGGCCTATTCTTAAAAAAAATTACTCATCCTCTAGGCCACAGTGATTTGTGAGCTAAAATCTTAGGGGTAGAGGCAACTGCAGCTTTTCCTGCTACATAATGCTTTCAATGGAGAAATGGTCTGGAGGGGGGGAACATAGTTCCTTGATGCATAAATGAAGGCTTGGCAAGGCATAATGGAACAGAAAAGGTGCTGCCAGGATCTCAAGAGTCCAGATAGACCATGAGGTATTACATAACTACTTGAAGATGAAGATGATGATGGTAACCAGTAGAGGACAACAGTAAAAGCAAGTTTCAGAGGAAAGAGCAACACAAGAGGAGCAGGAAGCATTGACTCCCCTAGAGAACCAACTTTTGATGTCGACTTTAAGCCTCGATGTGGACATTATGTCTAGATTAAGACCTCAGAATGTTCTTTAATTTAGGAAGTCTGCTTAAATAGCCTTGCTGAGTTTGGGGGTTTTTCTCACAGCACACTGACCTTTTGGAATCCCTCTCCCCTACCCTCCTCCCTGGAAATTTATCCTCATAGTCAAGGATACAACACTCATATGCTTACCATGTTTCACCTGTTTAAGCGTGGATGCCACTTGATAGCTGAAAACAGATTCGCAGAGGAATCTCTCAGAGCCATCTACAAACAAAAGGGGAAGAGGTTTTAATCTGCTTTAAGGGTTTTATGGCTTCTGATAAACCAAGTAAACTTGCCCATTCTTTTCCCTGCTTTTACATTCATGGTCTAGTTTTTAGTGTTTACAAAGAAAGCTTCTGTTTCATTTAGAACTAACATTGCTCTGTTATAAAAGCTACCTTTTCTATACCTAGAATATTAAAATAGTCCCTCTACTTGTTTAAAAGTTTAAAAATAGTATTTAAAAAAACAAAAACAAGAAACCTCAGTCTGATGTCCTGGTCAACATTTCCCCCCTTCCAACCTGACAGTTTCTTTTTTTTTTTTCTTTTGAGACATAGTCTCACTGTGTCACCTGGGCTAGAGTGCCGTGACGTCAGCCTAGATCACAGCAACCTCGCATTCCTGGGCTCAAGGGATCCTCTTGCCTCAGCCTCCCAAGTAGCTGGGACTAAAGGCATGCGCCACCATGCCTGGCTAATTTTTTCTATTTTTAGTAGACACGGGGTCTCACTCTTGCTCAGGCAGGCCTCAAACTCCTGAGCGCAAGCAATTCTCCTGCCTCAGCCTCCCAGAGTGCTAAGGATTACAGGTGTGAGCCACCGCGCCTGGCCCATCCTGACTGTTTCTTAATGTTTGCCTATTCTGTATGTCAGGTAAACACTGGCTGCTGACACATTTGGCCATGTGGTTCCTGAGCTATCAAAATATAAAGGTACACCAAAACTTCAAATCATTTTCAGTCTAAAAAACAAAGCTGAAGGAGAAATAGTTGTTGATTTTTAATATATCAAATTACATCACCATGACAATCACAAAACACTGCTGGGAAATTTTATTCTATAAACGCAAATTGCAACCTTGATTTTCCAACTGAACCAAAACACTGCAATTTGGATGACGATAAGAGTATGGTGCAAGTTCAGAACCTAGCATTGTACTGGTGCCAAGAACTGCCAACAAGAAGTAGCCAACGTGGTCACCAAAGCATTCACAAGATTGTGAAACATAACCTAGTTTGTGTTATTCCTTGTCAGGCAAGGGCTGATACAGCAAAACATATCCCCAAAGGTATACAGCTCATGTAAGAAAATTTTGATTTTTAAAAGGGTAGCAGAAATGATTTGGGGCATGTACCTTATTGTAAAAATTCTAAAACAAATGGAGAGAGAGAACACACCTGTCTTTTTTTAGGCAGTAGTTCACGCCTGCACCAGTAGGTGTCAAGCATTCACCCATTAATCATGCGTTGGTATGGCAGCCAGGTATTAAGTGACAAGGAGATAAGGCTAACACATTCTGGCCTCATGCTGAGTTTCACACAAGGAAGACCTTATTTCAGAAGTCATGGTAACCAGTAAGAAAAACTACAGATATTGTATCCAGATGGCTGGCTTGAATATACAGCCAAGAGGGCTTCCTTGCAATATTAGCTTCAAAGTGATTCCCCCCCAAAAAAAGAAAAAAGAAAAAAAAAAAAGAAAGTATAATTCTTGGGATGTACATATTTTAGGGAGAGTTACGTTCTGTAAATTCAAATCTTTTTTCTACATGTTGTGTAATATACGGGATATGATCCCACCTCCTCCACCCACCCCCATTTCTTTAGCCGAATGTAAGTCATTTGTGAGCTGCTGATCATCTAAGCAAATAAATATTTTCATTTTCAATTAACTAAATATTATACTGACTGTCCAGTTTAAATATCTAGGCAAGCTAATGACATCACTGAGTTTTTTGCTTGTTTGTTTTGTTTTAGATAAGAGCAATGGGCAGCAAATAACTATGAATTCCACTATGGGAAGATAGACTGTTGTGAAAATTTGACACCAATGATGCAATGTATTATAGCTCTTCTGTGTAAATGACAAGCCAGCATTCATTATCCTATTCATATTCTTGCTTAAAAAGTCCACTTATAACTCAAGTTTTATTTTAGAAAGAACAAAGCACAGAGAATTAGAATTTATCTCCCAGGTGGTTTGATCCTGAATTTTAGGATCTTGCACAAGGCAGTGGGGAATTATGGGCAATAAGGATCAGGCCAAGATGTACATGGAAGCTTTTGAAAGTACTACCTCCCATTTACATTTAATTACAGGTTCTATTAGGATAAAATGCTTAAGTTGTGACATTTGCATATTTTCCCTGGTAATGAACTTCAAAGCAAAAGGATATAAGCTAATCTTTCAAAAAGGCACCTGCATATCATTCTGCCACACTACAGCCTATGGAACATACTTTTGCTGATTTGCAACTCTCTATTAACCAACCACAAAGTCCACTGTTTCTTAGCCACATTCTACTAGATGTGATATTTGTACCGATCTAAAGCCTGGAATTTCTCCAGAGTGGAGTCAGCCTGGGGCAATGTGTCTTCCATTTAGAAACTGTAATCAAACACTTTGTAACATACCAAGTAGCAATATATCAGCTTTCCTCTTAAGAGACAAGCAAAGGTTATAAATAGTGAAAAGTTTAGTAAATTGCCCAAATCTAACACTATTGTCAACTACGATAAATACGATGCTAACAAATTCAGTTAAAAGAATATTACTTCACAGTAGGAAATTAAACAATGCCAGATAATTTATACTTCAGTGGCCTGCAATGTCACTAAAATACAACCACTGCTGGGTTGGAAGGCAGTCTCTAATTTGCTCACTAATAACTGGGTGAGGACAATCTTAGCCAAGGGCAGGAGAATGCTAAAAACTGCTGCAGCTGCATATGTGAAGTGTCTTTTATCAGGCAACAGATGCACCAAAAAGTTAATTCACAAGGTTAACTACAGGTTATTTGGGTTTATTATCCCAGACTTGCTGCAACATCAAGCCGAACCTGTTAAGATTATAAATGGCACCCAACCTTGATTCCTGACTGTTTTTGTTCCTTATTCTTCATAGGCAACCCCTCCTACTTTATTTTCATATTCTCTTAAACTATTATTTGTCAGGTACTTATACAGATTAATTGTATAAGAGACTGGTATCACCTATAAACATGGTAGAAAATCCTTCTGAATCTAACATCCTTACTAACTCACATTTAGGAATATTCTTTTTAATTTAATATTCTTGATTTGACCAAGATAGTTCAGGGGCTGCCATCTCTAGGTTATTTTCCAGTCTGTCTTTAAGCATAAGCAGCTTTAAGACTGCTGATGAAAGAAAGTTTAAACCCAAGAAACAGAATAAGAACCATGCACTGTGATTTTAAACTTAATATAAATTTACCCCACAATAGAAACCTAACACATTCCTCCATGAATCATACTGGGATGGAATAAAAATGGATAGATCTCTAACTCGTTAGAACATCAACATTCAGACTAATCTCAGAAGCCTTTCTTCTTCAATATCTCCATGTAATCTGCTGTATACTGACAAAGAATCTGTTGATAGCTTTGAGACTATGGAGGAACCTCCTGTGCTGAATTCCTCCTATAGCTAGAATTTAAATGTCTCTAATCTTAGAGCTCTATTGTTAAACATTGATTCCTCTTCTGCTGCTATAAAACTCATTAAACAATTTAAGTGCCTCCAACTCTTGATTTGTTTTGTGGGGAACTTCCTTAATACCAGGTCTCTGCTGCATATAACTGAAGTCATAATATATTTTTAGTGCCAAATATGGTAAACAAGGCCCCAACTGTTCATTACCTCCAACAAAAGTCAGTGATCCTTACTTGAGTATTCAGTTAAAACAATTAAAGAAAATGAAAATGCAAAGACAGAAGTACATACACCTAAGATGTAATCACTAATTACATACACTACATGGTTGTCTACTTCACTACTCATAAGCTGAACCAATTCTAGAGAGCCTTATGGTCCCAGAGTCTTCCCGTGTTTTCTTGTCACAAATGTTGCTCTGGCTTAATCCAAAACTCTGCTTTTTTATCTGATATAAATTAATAAAGATCACCACAAAAACTGACTCCCAACCATAGTTTGTACCTTTTTTTTTTTTTTTTTTTGAGACAGTCTTGTTCTGTGGCCCTAGCTAGAGTGCAGTGGCATCATCATAGCTCACTACAACCTCAAACTCCTGGGCTCAAGCGATCCTCCTGCCTCAGCCTCGTGGGTAGCTGGGACTACAGGTGCATACCACCACGCCTGGCTAATTTTTTCTATTTTTGGTAGAGAAGAGTCTCACTCTTGCTCAGGCTGGTCTCGAACTCCTGAGCTCAAGTGATCCTCCTGCCTCAGCCTCCCAGAGTGCTAGGATTACAGGCATGAGCCACTGTGCCTGGCCTAGTTTGTACCTTTTCCAGAGACTTTCCCAGGCAAGTTTTTAAATATATTTATGTGAATTTGCAATATTTATGGCAAAAAAGATGAATACATAATTAAGCACTAATATGCTAGAATCAAGTAAATTTTGAATCCTTAATAAATTTTCAATCTGCCAGTGTTTTTCAAAATAGGAGAAGACTACCTTTATGAGAATGCCTTGGATATTGGTCAAGATTCTTGAGCTGCATCCTAGAATAATTCAGAAACTCTAAGGTGGGCCCAGAAATGTGTTTTTTAAATAAGCTTCTCAAAGGTGATTTTTATGCTCCCTATTAAGAATTATTAGTCTATCTCCTAAAATAACATGAATCTAATGAATTCCACTTACCAGTGCTATTTCATGCTTACAGTCTATACCCTGATCTTGGCCAGGCAGTCTGCAAATGTTTGCTGAGTAAGATGATGAATGATTTGATACAAATCTGGCTCCAGTGCTAGAAAAAACATACAGTATTGTCCTGCAGTGGGTCAGGAGTCATCTTCACATAAAAGGGCAGTATATTAGTTTTTACTTCCTCTGAGAACCTTTCTGAGGGGGCTAATCTATCTGTAGATGAATTACACTAGAAAAAATACATCAAACCTACTATGTATATGGAGGTAGACAGGTGCTAGGGTAAAGCAAACCCGAGCAGGAGGTCCAGAAATTCCTGGTTCCAGCACTTTGTTTATAACATGGTCAAATCACTTAACTTTTCTGGATCTAAATAACTCTGGATGACCTCCTTGATTTCAAAGGTCTTTTTCAGCTCCAAAATTCTGATTCTGGAGCAAGATTTGTTTTTAAAGATACTATTTTGAGATGGGGACAAGACATGAAATATGGAGCTGAAATCAGGGTAAATTCATCTTTAATCTACTTAATAGCTTCTTTACAATTAATATTCATTGCAGGTCTGAACCCATTATTCAGCAAAAAGCAGCATGAGATCACCTTCTAACATCTCTCCAGCTCCTTTGGGGTAGGTAAAAAGGGCTTTCCGTGGTGGGGCAAGGTCTGAGACACTGAAACCAGATCCAGTGACAGAACTTCCACTGACCCCACCAGCTGAGGAGGATGATGAAGAGGCAGCCATTTCCTCGCTAGTAGAATTCTTACTTCACTACAGAGAAAGAAAAACAGCAATTGGCAAGTTTATGGAAATGAGATTGACAACATTTCATTCTAGCTGCCATAGGGCCGGTATACAGTTTTGTAAAACATTAGCTCCCCTTTTTTCTACCCTCTCTACTCCCACAATCTTTTATTGATACCTCAGGACAAAATGCTGCTCAGGTTTTGAAGTAAAAATATGTTTAAGAATAGTATGTCTACTTAAAACACTAATTCCTACCATTAGCAAACTGTTTACGTTGCTTGGGGATTGATGGTGGGTGATTTGTGCGTTATGAAGGGGTGATATGGCAGTGCCAAGGTAGAAATGAGGAATTAAATTTGACTGAGGAATTAAATTATATGAGGATGAAACAAACCACAGGACAGTTTGTCTTGGAGACATTCTGACCAAGCCACATCAAGAAATTCACTTTTAATATTTTCCAAATAAAATTCCAGAATAACACTGTGTTCTGTTCCCAAGGAAGGGAAACTGGTTAGGAAATACATATTGGACTTTTCATTAAAATTAACCTTTTCATCCATATGTAATACCCAAATTTATCACTTGGTGGCGTCCCCAAACTGGAACAAAATAGCTCAGGAAATGATCTTGGAAATCTTGGCCTATTATGAATACAGCAGCTGTGAATGTTTAATCCTGTGTCATATCAAAAAATTCAAATGTAAATGAGAAAATCTGTACTGAATACACGACTCCTTATAAAAGTTCAAAACAAAAACACTCTCCTTGCCACAGAAGCTTACACCACTTTAACAAAAGATTCTAAGCAGCATATACAGCATTTTCTATAAACAAAAAAAAGGCTAGTGCCGTGTTAACAGAACTTTCTGCCATGATGCATATGTTTCAATGATCTATTTCTGCACTGTCCAACATGGTAGCCGGTATCCTCACGTTGTAGCTATAAATGTGACTGAAGACCTGTATTTCAAATTTTATTTAATGTTAATTAAAATTTAAATGGCCACATGTGGCTAGTGGTTACTGCACTGGATAGTGAAATTCTAGTGTTTAGGTTAAAAAATGACTTTACACTGACTTGTACACTTAAAAATGGCTTAATTTTATTTTATTATTTATTTAGAGACAGGGTCTCATTCTATTGCTCAGGCTGGAGTGCAGTGGCCCAGTCATAGCTCACTGTAACCTTGAATTCCTGGGCTCAAATGATCCACCTCAGCCTCCCAAGTACCTGGGATTACAGGTGTGCGCCACCATACCCAGCTATTTTTAAAAATTTTCTGTAGAGACACGGGCTCAATATGTTGCCCAGGCTGGTCTTGAACTCCTGGCCTCAAGTGATCCTCCTGCCTTGGCCTCCCAAAATTCTGGGATTACAGGCATGAGCCACCATGACTGGCTAAAATGGCTAAAGTTTAATTTTATGGTGTCAATTTTAGCCCAAATCAAAAACAAAAAAAGACTTTAAAAGTATTTAAGAAATGAATTTCCCAGCCTGGGCAACACAGCAAGATCTTGTCTCTACAAAAAATTAAAAAATTAGCCAGGCACGGTGGCTCACACCAGTAGTCCTAGCTACTCAGGAGACTGAGGTGGGAGGATTGCTTGAGCCCAGGAGTTTGAGGTTGCAGTGAGCTATGACTGGGCCACTGCACTCCAGCCTGGGTGACAGAGTGAGACCCTAAGACCCTGTTTCAAAAAAAAAAAATCCTATATATGTAGAATACCAGTTTCCTAGTAAGGAAAACAATATACTATGTCTTGAAATGCTGGCTGTTGTTTCCTTAATTTTGTGGTGATGATTTAAGACTGTCAGAGAAGCAAAGCTTGATCTCTGATTTCATTATATATCTATAAGTAATACTAATTAATGCTGAAGTAGGATATGAGAACAGTAAGGCAACTATTATAATCAGACTGTCAGACTATTAAAATTCAAACTGATTAACAATTATTTTCAATCGTGCTATTAGATCACCTTTCCTATTTTCTATAAACTCTGATAATTTCCCAAAGTATATTCAGATCCATGGTGGCAATAACTTTTCAAGTTTAATTCATATCCAACCTTTTGAACTACACTGGGTCAAAATATAGCTTGACAAGTTTTTAAATGTGCTCTGAAAAGAACTTAAGCAGTAATGGATCAGGTCTAAATCTCTAAGTAGATTCCTGGTGGGATTCAAATAAAGTATACAGACAACTTACCCAACTTTTAGAGAGTAGCTCAGTCTTTATTTCCCATCAGTTCAGAGTAGAACCCAGTGTGAACTGTTTACATATCTCATCTATGATTTAAAACTCTAATCTATTTTTTCTATGCCCTGATAAATGCTCTATTCAGTTGCAAAGGCTTTATACTTTATATTTTGAAATCAGTTGCTCAGTAGAGCACCCAAGCAACTGCCAGAGGACAGCTTCAAAAGCTTAGCCACAGTATGACTTCTATACTGAGTATAATCAAAGGAATTCCCTTTCATCCTGTTTTTTTTCTAATTCTCAGAACTACTATCATTCCATACACAAAACAGCCAGGATTGAAAACTGGAGTGCAGAATTAGCACAAAGCTAACTTTAAATAAGAAGTTTTCAGCTAAGGTGGAAAGACACCTAAATAATTATTAACTTTAAAGATTTAGGTTAAATTTTGAATGCTATTAGCAAGTGGTAAACAAGAGTTAAAGCAAAACCAACAATAAATGCTATATTGTAACTGCTGAGGGCAGGCATTAACTGATCACTAGAACCAAACATGATGTTTGGTCTACAGCAAGTAGCTGCTCATTTAAGTAAATGTTTGCTGAATAAATTAAACATTTCACAGGAACCAGAGATTCCTTAAAGGTCATCTAATCCAACATCCTCATTTTATATAGGACAAAACAAAACTGAGGCATAGAGACAATTTTAGCTTATGTGCTGTGACTTTTTTTTTGTCCTGGAAACAGAGTCTTACTGTGCTGCCTGGGCTAGAGTGCAGCGGCATCATTGTGGCTCACTGCAACCTCAAACTCATGGGCTCAAGTGATTCTCCTGCCTCTGCCTTCTGAGTAGCTGGGACTACAGGAGCATGCCACCACATCCAGCTAATTTTTCTATTTTTTGTACAGACGAGGTCTGTCTTGCTCAGGCTGGTCTCGAACTCCTGAGCTCAAGCAATCCTCCCGCCTCAGCCTCCAAAAGTGCTAGGATTACAGGTTTAGGTCATTGTGCCCAGCCTGCTGTGACGTTTTTGATGCAATGGCTTGTTGGCATGTTATGTGTCATGTGCAAGGCAAAACAGCATAATGGTTAAGAACTCAGATTCTGAAGCCTCTTTGCTTGGGTTCATGTCCTGGTTTTGCTACTTACGACTTGCTGCATGACTCTGGACAAATCACTTAACTTTCTGTTCCTCAGTTGTCTTATCTGTAAAATGGGAATACAGGTTAAGTATCCCTTATCCAAAATGCTAGGACCAGAAGTGTTTCATATTTTTTTTTGGATTTTGGAATATTTGTATTATACTTAATACAAATATTGCCCCTCCCAGATCTGAAAATCCAAAACCCAAAATGCTCCAAAGAGCATTTCCATTGACTATCATGTTGGTATTCAAAAAGTTTCAAATTTTGGAGCATAAAGGGTTTCCAGATTAGGGATTCTCAATCTGTAATAACAGTACCTACCTCATAGAGGTGTTACAAAAACTAAATTAGTTAATACATGTAAAGCATTTATAACAGTTGCAGGCTTAGTAAACATTTAATAAATCTTACCCTATCCAAAAATCATTAATGGATAGTTGTTCCTGAATTATTTTATTTTCCTATGCAGATCCCAGTTTTTCATACTTATTATGTCCCAACAAGGAAAAGTTCTAATTCTTTCCATCTAACACACAGACAACAAGCTCCTACAGGGGAAAAGGTCTGCTCTGGAAGAGGAACAATGCCCTCCATTAGGCGCTTCACACTTTGATTTTAAGGTTCACGATCTTAAGAGAGAAACCTGTGATCTTGGAAAGGGGAAGGAATTGTTCTTCTACCCTCAAGGCCTAGCACAGAACCTGGATCACAGAGTTTCTGGGATGAATGAATGATGAACAAAGACAGAACACAGGGCTAGCAGCTCAGCAGTTTATGAGAACAGAGAAGCTTGATGTCATGAAGGTTGGCCCATTACGGTCTTCTTTTTCTTTCTCATCGTGCAGATCTATTTACACAACTCTTATCTCCCACGAGATTGCCAGGCCCATCGCTCAGTAAAATTTTGTTGAGCAAATGTTGGTGATGAAGTATCCTGGGACTTGGCCCTGTAAGGGAAGCTGGGATTATTGGCAGTAGAGATCCTCATAGAGCAGCAATGATATTTTAGGGACACAGATTGCTGTGTCTGCACTGATAAAATGATTAAACATTTACTTCATGTAAGACAAGGATGACTACATTTATAAACTTCTTTCTAGCAGATATATGCCTATCTTAAAAAGAGTCCTTTTGAAAAAAAGTCTCATCAAAAAAATGGACACTGAAGGAAGTTCCTACTCCAGTATGAAGGCAAATTATAACAAGCAATCATTAAATTCTATCATCAACAAATCTTTCCACTTGAAAACAGCTGGATTACATGGCCGGGCGTGGTGGCTCATGTCTGTAATCCTAGCACTCAGGGAGGCCGAGGCAGGAGGATCGCTTGAGGTCAGGAGTTCGAACAAGAGCGAGATCCCATCTCTACTAAAAAAATTTTTAAAAAGTTAAAAAGAAAAAAAAAACCGCTGGATTACAATCCAAATCAAATGCATGCTGAAGCTAAAACCTAGCTGGGGCTGGGATGGAGAGAAAGTGGCTGGAGAGGGGAGGGGCTAGAACACAAGCTACTCCCAAGCTAACTCCAAGCCACGTTTCCCACAGGCCTCAGTCCTAAGGAAGCGACGCCATTGGTGCCGTCCCACTGCGCAGGCGCCACCCCTCGGCCCGCATGCGCACTCAGCCCGGCGCGGCCTGAGGAAATTTCCTTTTACACGCCTGCTGCAGCAGTCCCTTGGGTCTCCTCCTCCCTTCTCCATCTTCCTAGTCCCTGCAGGTAGGATCCCAAGGGTCAGCTCTCTTTCCATCAAGCACCCGAAGGTCCTTAAACTCTCGGCCACTTACCTCAGCGGCTTTGGCACTTTCCCTTACAGCCCCGCCCCCAAGGCCAGCCGGAGCGGCCGCTACAACGACGAGGACGGTGGCGTGCTCGCGCCCGCGAGAGGGGGCCCGCGACAGCGGCGGCGTGCGCGCGCTCGTGCTTTGGTGGGCGTGGCCGGGGCGGAGAAGGCGCTCGGGGAGAGGACTTCCGGGTTTTTAACCTCCTCTGCCTGCCTTGGTTTGCACGCGGTCTTGGAGCCCTCTGTTCTTCTCTCCCTTTGGCGTACTCGCTTTTTGGCTCGCTTTTATGATTCAGGGCTTCAGTTTCCCTCATGATATTGCAGAAGGATACTGCTTTCCTCTTCCTCTCCAAAACACCGCGAGGCGGGGTTAAATTGGTTATTCCCCCTTCCTTCTGAGCAGCCTCAGAGACCAGGGCCATACAGGAAAGGTAGATGCTACCTTTTCTCCCAGAGCTCGTGGTCTGAGGACCCGACCTTAACATTAAAGTATGGTTTTTTTTTTGTGCTCGCTTCGGCAGAACATATACTAAAATTGGAACGATGCAGAGAAGATTAACATGGCCCTTGCGCAATGATGACACGCAAATTTGTGAAGCATTCAAATTAAGTATATTTTTAAAAAAATTAAAGTTTGGTGTTTTTTTTTGTTTGTTTTTGAGACAGAGGTTTGCTGTGTTTCCCGGGCTAGAGTGCAGTGGCATCAGCCTAGCTCACAGTAACTTCAGACTCCTGGGCTTAAGCGATCCTCCTGTCTCAGCCTCCAGAGTATCTGGAACTACAGGCATGTGCCACCATGGCCGGCTAATTTTTTCTATATAATTTTAGTGGTCCAGCTAATTTCTTTCTATTTTTATTAGAGACGGAGTCTTGCTCTTGCTCAGGCTGGTCTCAAAGTCCTGATCTTGATTGATCCTCCTGCCTTAGCCTCCAGAATAGCTGGGCCTGCAGGCGCGCACCACCACGGCCGACTAATTTTTTCTGTTTTTGGTAGAGACGGGGTCTCACTCTTGCTCAGGCTGGTCTCCTGAGCTCAAGCTATCCTCCCGCCTCGGCCTCCCAGAGTGCTAGGATTACAGGCGTGAGACACCGCGCCCAGCCTAAAGTCTGTTTTTGTGGGGAACTCTTTTTTTTTTTTTTGAGAAGTCCTAGGGGAATAGGCGGCTAAGGTATAATGTCATTAGGCTATTGCTAATTATGTCCCTTCTTCCTCCATCCAAGTCGATTTATCTCTATGTTGTTACTTCTCACAACACGAAACCTCTTGGTTCTGTAAGCAGAAAAACTCTCAATTAAAGTGACTTGTTTGCTGAGTGTTGGACTGAACATTAGTGTATTTAGTGAGGGTCAATCCGTTTTCTTTGGAGCTTTTCAGTATTTTGTGCTTCGAGACTATCCAAACTATATGTGGTGAGAACATTGGTTGAATTTAATCACAGCTATAAGGAACCTTTGTTTCCTAAATTATTGATTTTATTAAGAAGCTGGGCTTCTCAGCGAGTGATGTATAGTCTTTTGGGCAGTGGCCCGTAGAAATTGGCTCCTCGCCTCAGCAGTATGTTGGTCTGAGAACCACATTGGTTGTCATATTTTCACTGTGCTTTTGACAGACAACTGGACCTGATTGTTTGGTATATATTTCTAGCAACTCTAAAAGTACTTAGGGACTTTTTTTTTTCTGGATGGTTAAGTGTATTAAATATCCCTCATTGTTTTAATTATCATGCTAGATAAAAAGAATGAGATACTTTGCAAATGGTTAGGTAAACACTGAAGGTTGCATTTTATTCCCTTTAGGTTAAAGTAATAAAGAGACCTTTATTCTGTCTTTCAAAGTCATGGAGGGCTGTATATAAATACCTTTTAATCACCTTTCCTGGGGTTAGAAATAGTTTACAAATTACTTTTGTCTGGAGTGAGCCAGTGTGATGGAAAATGTAGCAACTGACTTTAACCAGTTTATAGGTAGGAAATCCAATGGAATTCAGTACTTATTTTGTGTAGGATGTACTGTGAACTGGTGCCCAATTCAGGCCTATGTAATGGCCCATGCAATAGAGATAGGGTTTTTAATTCTCATTAAAAAGATGATAATTTATTTTTCAGGACTTCACTGGAATATTGTTTGGCGAAAGTGTCATGGAAGTCTTGCGCCCACAGCTTGTAAGAATTGATGGTCGCAATTACAGGAAGAATCCCATCCAAGAACAGACTTATCAACATGAAGAAGAAGATGAGGACTTCTATCAAGGTAATCCTAGTTTCTCTTTGGTCAATAAAATGTCCTGTGTATTGCAGGAGCAATTCTTTGTTTTGTTTCAATGTGTTTCTGTGTCAGCACTGAAATTTGAGATGTTTGGCTTCGCATGGCTTCATTTGTGTTGATGTCTCAGGGTACTGAAGAGTCTGAGTTTGAGTTGTTCTCAGTTGCAGTTCATAAGTCAAATTATGTTTCTTCTTTGCACAGAAACTTAAATGTCACAAGGAGTAATTTGTTAACTATTAATATTAACCATTAATATACTGTGACAAAATTGAGTTCCTTTATGTGTAAAGTTTGAAGTAATATATAAAAATTATTGAAATAAACGAACATATGTATTTAGTCCAGTGCTACCGAAATCGTTGGATGCTTTCATGTGCCTTATATAAAATGGTTTGGTATTTGCATGTAACCTATGCACATCCTCCCATATATTTTAAATCATCTCTAGATTACTTAACAATACCTGATACGATGTGTTATGTAAATAACTTTTATACTGTGTTTTTTTTATTTGTCCTATCTTTTGCTGTATTAAAAAAATTTTTTTTCCCAAATATTTTCTGTTTGCGTCTGGTTGAATCCATAGATGTGGAACCCTTGGATATGGAGGGCCAACTCCACATACATACCTATGATAAAGCTTAATTTATAAATTGTGCACAATGAGAGATTAACAACTATGACTAATAATACAATAGAACAATTATAACAATACACTGTAATAAACGTTATGTGAATGTGGTCTTTCTCTCTCATATCTTATTGTATGTAATATTTTTGGACTGCAGCTGATGGTGGTTAAGTTTAACCCTACCTTGGAAAGCGAAACCACAGGTAAAGGGGGGACTGCTGTGTGTGTATGCCACTTTCCCAAGGTTCTAGGACTAAAAGGTTTCAAATAGTCATTGTGTGTTTTTTTATGCTTTATTTCTTCTGAGCTGGTCAGGAGGAATATCAGAGCAGTGTTCTGCAATGTAAAGTGTCAGGCCGTTCTTTGTGCCTGTGTATTGCTCTTTTAAAACCCCAACGGTGGTTGGCTGGTTGACAGCTGAGGAGAAGGCTGCTGTCCACAGAGCAGCAGCATTACTGAGCAAGATGTCACGGTTTCTCATGTAGGTTCCATGGAGGGTACTGATGAACCCTGTGATGCCTACGAGGTGGAGCAGACCCCACAAGGATTCCGGTCTATTGTGAAGGCCCCCAGCCTGCTCTACAAGTGAGTGAAGTCCCCAGCAGCTCTATGGGGAGGCACTTCCAGGAAACTCAGCAAGAAGCTGACCTTTTAGTCTTCTTATTGCAATGCTTAATTACTAATGATAAAATAGTTTAGTGTTTTATATCCTAAAATTTCAAAGGACTGATTACAGATTAATTTCATCATTCCACGTGTATCACCAAGTCCTGTTGATTTTGCATCTTAAATATCTTTGAATCTACTGCTTATCTCTGTCTTCACTGCTACCTGTCTGCCTTTTCTGTGGATTACTTAAAACAGCCTTCTCACTATTCTGTCTACATTGATTTTTTGCTCTCTTCTCAATCTGTTCTTCACACTGAGGGTGGAATGATTTTACTACCTCTGCTTAAAATCCATCGATGGCCTTCCATTGTTAATGGAATTCTATTCTATTAGAGCAATGACCAAAGTCTTAAACATGACTTAACTGCCCTGCATTTTTCAGTCTCAGCTTATACCATTCTTTCTCTGGCTTTGCACTTACACCCAGCTGGTTTTCTTCAGTTCCTCAACTATGCTGTGCTTCTTTCTGCCTTAGACATTTTGCATATGCTGTTTTTTTGCCTTGGCATCATTCTACTTCATTACGTAGTAATATTCTCCTTCCTTAGGGAAGCTTGCTTTGACACCATCATCCTCACTGACCACATCGATTGCCCTATTATATGTTTCCATAACACACTCTACTTTTTCTTTGTGGTGTTTATTGCAGTTTATGTTTATATTTGTTTATGTGCTATTTGATGACTCCTGTCCTAGATGGGAAGTTTCTTGAAAGCAGGCATATGTCTGTTCCATTAATCCCTAATGATTATCAAAGACTAAACATTCTTTTTCCAGGGTTATCTTTATAAATTACTTGGAAACTGTGATCACATCAGTACGTGCTTGCTTACTTGTGTGTTTGCCCACATTCTGTCTCATAGTAACCACTAATATTATAGAATATTGTCAGCTTTTGTGGCTAATTGGTTTCTTTGGGGGTTATACCTCTAAACAAGGCTGGTCTAGGAAGTCCATAAATTGTTTTTTTGTGCTATACCAGATGAATTAGGTCTGTCCAAGCACAATCTACAGATGTGGAATCATATGCCTTTAAGCTCTGTCTTTGTATTGCTTGAGGTTGGGCAATTTATAAAGAAAAAAGGTTTATTTGGCTTGTGATTCTGCAGACTGTACAAGAATCATGGCACTCAGCTTCTGGTGAGGGCCTCGTGCTGCTTTCACTCATGGTGGAAGGTGAAGGGGAGCCACATGCAGAGATCACATGGTGAGAGTGGAAGCAAGGCAGGGGGAGGTGCCAGGCTCTTTTTAACCACCAGCTCTCTCAGGAACTAATAGAGTGAGAACTCACTCATTACTATGAGAACTGAACCAAGGTATTCATGAGGGATCTGCCCCCATGACCCAAACACTTCCCACTGGGCCCTCCCCTCTAACATTGGGCATCAGATTTCAACATGAGATTTGAAGGGGTCAAATATCTAAACATAGCAAACTCCAAAAGGCAAACTTTGATAACATTCTGAAACATCTATTAAGAATGAAATTCTGGCCGGGCACGGTGGCTCACACCTGTAATCCTAGCACTCTGGGAGGCTGAGGCGGGCAGATTGTTTGAGCTCAGGAGTTTGAGACCAGCCTGAGCAAGAGTGAGACCCTGTCTCTACTAAAAATAGAAAGAAATTGGTCAAACAACTAAAAATATATAGAAAAAATTAGCTGGGCATGGGTGTATGCCTGTAATCCCAGCTACCCGGGAGGCTGAGGCAGGAGGATCGCTTGAGCCCAGGAGTTTGAGGTTGCTGTGAGCTAGGCTGACGCCATGGCACTCTAGCCCAGGCAACAGAGTGAGACTCTGTCTCAAAAAAAAAAAAAAAAAAAATGAAATTCTCTTGGAATGTGGCCAAATCAGGGTCTAGTGACATTTTTTCCTAAGAAACATGATTTTAGAAAGTCTTGGCTCAGTTTCTTGGTAAGGTCAGTCTAACATGTCTTAATGTGTATTTCTGTTACTGCTAAGGTGTGTAAAAATTCCTAACATGTCTAATTCTAAATTGATCTTTTGATTTCTATATATTCTAAGTACTCATTATGAACCAGATGACTTGCATGTTAGATTAGATATTGGTTCTGCTAAATCCTAATTAATAGATAATGTTTACTAGGAAGATATCTTTCTTATGAATCATTTTTGTAGGTTTATTTGGATCAAGGAAGAAATTACCTGGCCAGACTAATTTATAATCAAAGTCTAATACTAGCAACACCTATCCATGGAATATGTCTAATGCTATGTGGTTCTCAGTCTCAGGTGCACATTAGAATTACCTGGGGAGCTTTAAAAAATTCTGATGCCTGGGTGCACTCCAGACCAATTAATCTCTCCGAGTGGGACCGAGGCATCATTCGTTTTGAAGCTCCTCAGGTGATTCCAGTGGGTAGCCAAGACTGAGAACCACTTGATCTCGTGGGAATTTCCACTTACATATTCAACCAAGGAGTCGCATTTTCACTGATTATCTGTATTATTGTAGTGAATATTTTAGCCTTTCCACGTAAACCTCTTTTGAATTTAACTGTACTTTTAACTGGAAGGATGCCATTATGGACTTAATGAGGATAGCATGGACTGTAAGGAGCTCTGTGCCATTCATTGGGAAGCTCTTTCATATATGATCACATTTAATCCTTGCAGCAACCTTACAGTACATAGGTATTATTCACTACATTTTTCTAACTGAAGAAGTAGGCTTAGAGTGACTAAATTGACTTGCTCAAGGTTTGATTCTAAAGCCTCTCTAACCTCAACCACTTCCCTTTCTAAGACAGTGAAGCCTAGATTATTAATAATGCTTTGAGTCAACTACTTTTTGTGATAGGCTTGTTCACTCACCACATACCAACAAACAGGGGCAAACACCCCTAATTAGGGGTTAAGACAGAGAAAGACAAAGGCCTGATAGTGTTGGTGAGATACAACCTCCAGCCCAACACAGAGGGTAACCACATGGAAAGTACAGAGTTCCAATCCTTTTCTAAACATCTTGTTTATTAAAAACTGGCTTACTACAATAGATCTTAATGGAAATAATTGGGCTTGGTTATCCCATATAAAAAACAAATGAATAGTTTTAGAAATAGTCACCCATAGTATTGGGGTACTGTGATTGAAATCATGGAAGTTGAAATAATGTTTATGACAGGGAGTTTTTTCTTTTAATTTTATATAGTCCTGTGATGGTCTCTTAGTGCTTTATAGACTCTGAAACTTCTCTCTTGGGATCCAGTAGTCTCATTCACTTTAACACATCTAATTACTATGGGTTCCAGAAGATAACCTTGGATTGTCAGAATTATTTGTATTAGGAAGCACAGGCAATGTAGTGGAAATGAGTCAATAAGTGATTGATGTGGGGTAGATCAAAGACTGTGGGGAGTGATGGGATTGTGATGAGCTCATGTCCCATCTTCAGGGAATAGTCCAGAGTTGGCTTCAGCCTGTTGCTGTGAGTTGTTAGATCTTCTGATTTTTCTTAAGAACCTGCAAAAATATATATTTTTGGGTGTACTCTCCAAACAAAACATTCCATGTGCTGAATTCAGCCTGAGGGTTACTTTTTTACTTCCAGTGCTTTTGGAGTGGTGAATCCTGCTCTTTGCTAAGCTATTTTTCCTTGTTTAATTAATCAGGGATAACCCCCTTAGGATGAACTCATAGTATAGTTAACTTGTTTTCCAAAATGAATAAGGTTCTTTCCTTCTCAAATTGTGGATCCATTGGTTGCTGGAAGTGCCCTCTGAGACTATGCCAGCTTTGCTTTCACTGAACTGTAGACCTGGATTTTTTTTTTTTTTTTGAAACAGAGTCTCACTGTGTTGCCTGAGCTAGAGTGCCATGGCGTCATCCTAGCTCATAGCAACCTCAAACTCCTGGGCTCAAGCGATCCTCCTGCCTCAGCCTCCCGAGTAGCTGGGACTACAGGCATGCGCCACCATG